GATCTCACAGCTGACAACTACGAGAGCAATGTAAAGGCTACCACGGAGCTATATCTAGCCCCCCCAAGGAGGACACGGTAGCCTTTCTTCAAAGAGTTTGCAATTTGATAAGGGCAGGTCTCCAGCACCACGCGCTCAACCCCGTGGAGATTCCCAAACTTAGGACCGAACGCTTGAGTTTTGGTACCGGGATTCATATAACCATCCTGGCACAATGATGGGAGACGAGGCCAATATGGACAAGGTTGGCCAGAGGATTCGAGCCACATAGGCCTCATTTGCTGCATTTTACTTTTAATCTGCATTTGCCATTACAGTCTTTACAAACAATTATGGTTTTACTGTCAATCCCCCCAGTTTTACATCTTTTCCCTTCTCCTGGTTATTATGCAGAAATGACCCACGGGAGCAAACGGTGGATCTAAGCGATCGTGGAGGGGAAATGTTCAACTACCAAAAAGCATAAAGCAAAGAAACAAAGAGAAAAGGAAAAATACCCCTCTATCTTTGCATGGCATTTGTCACAAAAGTAGGTAAATGCTTTGCAGGGAGAAATATGATGATGTCTCATGGAAACCTTTTAAAGTAATTTCTAACAACTGTATTCACTACCAGCGCAGTCATTAACAGGTTGCCAGGAGAGAAAATAAAAGCTCCTAGACTGTTTCCGTACAGTCTGCACCCGATATTACTGCTATTACATCAACGCCTAGAAATTATAATGGGATGAGGGCCCTCCCCAGCCAGGCACCATGTAAAACTGTGCTGAGAGGTTGTCGTGAACCAGCAGACAAAGGGAGTTTTCTTACTCTCGTCTTTGTACGTGGGAAGTTGAGGCATATCCTGTGCGGAGTCACCCTTGCCCTGGCAGCACGGAGGCCTGTCCTCCCCCCCCGGATCTGCTCCTTACCCGGCCTTGATCATCCTTTTCCCCACCAGGGAGGGCATCAGTGTCCAAGCCGGAAGACCGGTACCTCCCGGTCCCCACTTCCCCAGGATCACGACCCAAACACCTCTATCCCTAAATCCCTCCAGCCCTCGGCAGCCCAGACCCCATTCCTGGGAGCTCTGGTGCTGCGGCTCCAAGCGCTGGGTGGCTCCCGGGAGGCTCCATCCGAAGGTCTGGCCGAGAGGCAGCAAGCCCCACACTGATGCTGCAGACCTGTCATTCGGGTACCTTCCCTCTCCGCCGCGCCAGGGCTGCCTTCGCGGCGTTTTCGTTGCCACGGGACCGGGAAAGCACCACTCTGGTGCTTCCACTCACCAGGATACGTCCCTCCTCTCCCTCCCCCTGCTCTGCTCCATACATGAATACATTTCTCTCTTTATTTTTTTTTCCCTTTTGGTATTTATTTTTTTTTTCTCTTTCCCATTACCCCTTTAATGCAGAGCAGGGCTGCTGATTACAAAAGAGGCAGTTTGACTCGAGCAATAGGTCTTCTTCACTAATCCTCACTGTCACGGAAATTCCAGCTGCTACAAGAATAAGAGGCTCAATCCATATTTGCCAGCTCTAATATGAAATCTGTCAGGGCCCAAATTAATGAGTTCCAAATTCCTTACATCACGATAACAGGTTAAGACTGGTCAATTAATTACATAAATCCTTCCCGATTCATTGTGCATTTTCAGGCGAGATTGTGTCTTACATAACTGGGTGACACAAGGCCTTTTGGCTCTTGTTGTTCCGCAGAAAGGCCTCCATTTAAGCGCAGCCCGCCTGCCACGGAGGCTGGTAAATGTCACGCCTCGGCGTGGCGCTGGCTCCTAATTGCTTTTGTATAAAAAAAAAAAAAAAAACCAAAACCCCCAAAATTTTAAAAACTAAAAAAAAAAAATGTTTTA